GGACTGAGCCCACCCCACAACAACCCTCAGACCAGAGACCCCAGGCAGGAACCACGTGAGATTCCAAGCCTGGAATTAGGGCGGGATGGGGGAAAACGCTGCCCCAGCATCTCCCAGCATTCCCCAGCCTGTCCCAGCATCTCCCAGCATCATTTCCCAGCCTTTCCCAGCCTGTCCCAGCCGGGGACGGGAAGGGACAATGCGGGATTTGCTGCCCCTCCCTCAGCACTGCTCGTCCCAGGGAAGCTGTGGAGCACCTCCCATGGAAACCTGGTGATTCCAGGAGCTCCGGGAGCGTCCGGCGGGGCCGGCTCAGCCCCGCTCAGAGTTTCCAGCAGCTCGCTCGGCTGTTGCTCCGTCTCCGGGTGACCGACTCCCTCCAGATTCCCTCAAATCTCGGTCCAAGAATGTTGTTTGGGCTGAAGAATGCGTGGCTGGGAAGGAAAGAAAGGGAAAAGGGAGGTCGGGGCAGGGCTGGCTCGGCTCTCCCCGCTGACCTTCCCGCCCTGCAGTTGTTGGGCAGATGTGGGGCCGGGCCCTCCACCCCAAAGGGATCCCGGGATCCCTCGGGATTCCCTTTCCCTGCCCGCTCCGGTGGTGGCTCTGGGGGAGCAGAGCCCTGGAGGGGTCCTGGGGTGGTGGGAATCCATCGGGACCTTCCCCGGGCACCGGGAATTCCAGGGAATCTGCAGAGAGCGGAGCTCTGCCTCCAGGGAATGCCTGGGGAGCAGGAGGAAGAGGAGGGTTCCCTGCAGGGATGGAGCAGTCCAGAGGCAGCTGGAGAGAGGAGGAAGAGGAAGACGAAGAAGAGGAAGAGGAGGGAGAGGAGGAAAATGAGGAAGAAAGGAAAATGAGTGAGATAAGGAAGATGAGGAAGAGAAGGAAAATGAGGGTTCCCTGCATGGATGGAGCAATGAGAGGTACCTGGAGAGAGGAAGAAGAGGAAGATGAAGAAGAGGAAGATAAGGAAGAGAAGGAAGGGGAGAAAGAGGAGGAAAATGAGGAGGAAGAGGAGGAAGAGGAGGAAAATGAGGGTTCCCTGCATGGATGGAGCAATCCAGAGGTACCTGGAGAGAGGAAGAAGAGGAAGACGAAGAAGAGGAAGATGAGGAAAAGAAGGAAGAGGAGGAAGAAGAGGAAGATGAAGAAGAGGAAGAGGAGGAGAATAAGGAAGTGGAGGAAAAGGAAGAAAATTAGCAAAATGATGAAAAAGAGGAGGAAGAAAAGGAAGAGGAGGAAAATAAGGAAGAGGAGGGAGAGGAGGAAAATTAGGGCTCCCTGCATGGATGGAGCAATCCAGAGGTACCTGGAGAGAGGAAGAAGAGGAAGACGAAGAAGAGGAAGATGAGGAAAAGAAGGAAGAGGAGGAAGAAGAGGAAGAGAAGGAAGAGGAGGAAGATCTGCCTGAGCAAGGCTGGAGGTGCCAAGGGATTCCTTGGCCCCAGTTTGGGAATCTTGACCCTGGAATCTCGTAAAAGAGCAGTTGGGACCTCCCAGTCCTCAGGGATTTGCCTTTAGGGACAAGGCCCAAGGGGGACCCCCAGGACACACCTGGTCAGTCCCTCGGGAGCAGGGAAGGAGCAGGAATTTCCACAAGGAAAGGAAAGGAGGCTGAGAGAGGCTGTGGCTGGGTTTGATCCTCCCCTCAGCCTCGGCAGGAGCAGCAGGGAAATGTTTTGTTGCTTTGTTTTGTTGGGGAGCATCCTGAGAAATCCGTGTCCGTCCGTGGGGAAGCTCCCGGGAATGGAGGATTAAAGGCAAAGCCGGGGCAGATTTGGTGCTTCCAGCTACGAAATTCCAAAGGATTTGATCAAAACAGCTGGAAAAAATCCATCCTAAACAAGCCCTGCTCCGTTTGGGTTGGAAAATCAAAGCAGAGCAGGCAGGGATGAGATGCAGACTGGGCTCCTGGAATGACCAGTGCAGATGGGATGGGGCAGTGAGGAAGGATTTGGGATTCCAGGAAGCCAGGACAGCACATTCCCAGCTCCTGTCACCAGCTCCGGGCTCCCTCCGAGCAGCCAGCCGCAGGGAATTGGTGGTTTTGGGGGGAAAAAATGTGGAAAAATGTCATGGAAGTCGCTTGGGAAGCAGGGATGAAAGGAGAGGGAGCAGTGGGGTCCTATCAGCACCCTCCTGGTGCCAAGGAGCCCTGCCAGGAACTTTGGGATGTGGGGGATGACTGGAGCATGAGATTCCAGGGTTGGATGGAGACAAAAAGGGGAAAAGCCTCGTGGGGCTCTTCAGATGGAAAATTCTCATTTCCCTGAGATAATCCCGGTGTGGTTGGGGTGGGGTTGGACAGGAGGTCCTGGGTTCTGTGGGGAGCCCAGGGGCTGAGCTCCAGCAGGCTGGCATTCCCTGGTTTAGGCTGGAAAAGGAGACGTGGCACCACTCAGAGCCACCTCCTGCTCCTCAGCATCCCCAGGGCACCTCCAGGAGCCACCAGGGAGGGTTTCTGATCCAAAGGGAGCATATCCCAGATCCTTCAAACTTCCAGGAGCTGGGGAGGCCGGAATTCCTTATCCAGGGAACTGTTTGCTTTTCCAGGTAAACCTCCAGGCCCTGAAATCCTTGGAGCTGCTGGCCAGAGGTGCCCCCACAGCAGTGGAAAATTTCCTGGGATTTCAGCAGAATTGCACAAAAATTTCCCAGGAATTTGGCTCCCTGGGAATGGGATCCAGCCCCTCCATCCTCTCCACCATCCCAAAGCCTCCAGCTCCTCCCTTCCACGTGGGATTCCTCCTCCAGTTGCCACCAGAATGCTCAGAGGGGATAAAACCCCCCCACCTCCCTTCCCTGGGATTTTCCTCCCTTTCCCTGCCCTCTTTTCCCACTTTCTCCACATCCTCCCTCCCTGCAGACGGGCTGTGCTTTCCAGGCACATTTCCCTTCCCAAATATTCGGGATTTCTGGCCGAGTCCCCGCTGTACAGCGTGTCCCTCCAAGCCCGGCCACCGAACTCCGCTCACATCGCTGCTCCTCCTCCTCTTCCTCCTCTTCCTCCTCCTCCTCCTCCTCCCAGCGGGAGCGCCCAGGATCCCTGCGAGGCTCCCCCCGACCCGGGAGGATGTTTTGGCTGGGAATTTTCTACGGAAAACAAGGAGAAAGGGAGCCCAGAGGGGGAGCTGGCACCTGCTGAGCTCCGCTGAGTAATTCCAGGCTGCCGGGAGGATCCGGGAGCGCTGCTGGAGCCGGGCAGGGGCCGCTCCGGGCTCCTCCTTCCCTCTCCCGTCCTTTCCTTGCGGGAGGAAATGCTTGGAGAGGCCGGGAAGAGCCTCAGGGAGCCAGGATGGGGATGGGGATGGGGACAGGGGCTGGGACAGCTCTGCAGGACCCCCCAGGGGCACGGGGATGAGCCCCAAAACCTCTTCCCAAGCATGGATCACCCTCAGGACATGTTCCCTGTCCTTATCCACCAGTTCCCACTGAGCCTCGAGGGGATGGATGAAAACCCCAAATCCCAAGGGATGGATGAGATCCCAAACCCCAGGGGAAAGGATGAAATCCCAAATCCTGGGGAATGGATGAGATCCCAAATCCCACGGGATGGGTGAAAACCCCAAATCCAGGGGAAAGGATGAGATCCCAAATCCCACGGGAGGGATGAGATCCCAGATCCTAAGGGATGGATGAGATCCCAAATTCAGGGAATGGATGAGATCCCAAATCCCACAGGAAGGATGAGATCCCAGATCCTAAGGGATGGATGAGATCCCAAATTCAGGGAAAGGATGAGATCCCAAATCCCGGGGGATGGATGAGATCCCAAATCCAAGGGATAGATGAGATCCCAAATCCCACGGGAGGTAGAAGATCCCAAATCCCAGGGGATGGATAAGACCCCAAATCCTGGGGGATGGATGAGACCCCAAATCCTGGGGGATGGATGAGACCCCAAATTCCATGGGAGGGATGAGATCCCAAATCCTGGGGGATTTATGAGACACCAAATCCTGGGGGATGGATGAGATCCAAAATCCAGGGGATGGATGAGATCCCAAATCCCGGGGGATGGATGAGATCCCAAATCCCAGGGGATGGATGAGATCCCAAATCCTGGGGAAAGGATGAGATCCCAAATCCTGGGGGATGGATGAGATCCCAAATCCCATGGGAGGGATAAGATCCCAAATCCAGGGGAAAGGATGAGACCCCAAATCCCACGGAATGGATGAGATCCCAAATCCCGGGGGATGGATGAGATCCCAAATCCAAGGGATAGATGAGATCCCAAATCCCACGGGAGGGATAAGATCCCAAATCCCAGGGGATGGATGAGATCCCAAATCCTGGGGAAAGGATGAGATCCCAAATTCAGGGGAATGGATGAGACCCCAAATCCCATGGGAGGGATGAGATCCCAAATCCAGGGGGATGAATAAGACCCCAAATCCCATGGGAGGGATGAGATCCCAAATCCTGGGGGATTTATGAGACACTAAATCCTGGAGAATGGATGAGATCCCAAATCCAGGGGGATGAATAAGACCCCCATCCCATGCGGATTTTCCCAGCCTGCAGAAATGCCAGCTTGGCAACCCCACGCTGCCAAACCCGAAGACAAATTCCCACTGTCACAGTGGCCCCTTTGGTAGGGAATTTATTTACTTTGGATGCTGCCGCCTTATCGTTCATGGAAATGTTTATCCCAAATATTTAACGGCAGCACTGCACAAACTGAGGCTTCCTGGGGAGCGCTCGGAGCAGGGCCCACGTCTCCCCTCCTGGTAGCGCAAAAATTCAGGAAAATTCCCTTTTTTTTCCCCCCAAAATCCCATCCTCAGCACCCCCAAAAGCTGATATTCCCTAACCTGGCCAGAGGCCTGCTCAGAGCTCCCTGATGAGAAACGCAGGAGAGCCCTGGAAAAACAACATCCCAACGCCGCTAAGTCGTTAACCAGAGGGAGCCTGGAAAGTGCCAACACTCCTGAGAGAAACGAGAGAGAGAGAGAGAGGAGGGAGAGGGAGGAAAGAAATCGCAGGTTATTTATAACGCCAGGCAGCACCAGGGGCTCTCCAGTCTCTCCTGCAAAGCCGCGGCTGGGAGGTCACTCCCGGAGATCCCCGGCCAGCCCGTGGCCTGCCAGCGCAGGATTTGCTCCGGGATCTGGGGCGGGCACGGGGCGCTGCGGCTCGGGAGCCAGCCTCCCTCCCATGCTGCCGGTGCCACGGCACAGCCCGCAGCAGCCTTTGCACAGGAGGAGCGCAGCTCGGTGAGTCCGGCTCGGCGCCTTTCAGGCAGGGTTTTATTTTTTTGTTATTTATTTGGGGTTTTTTGGGTTTTTTTGGTTTTTTTTTTGGAAGCCTGATTTCTATTTCAGGCATGGCAGCGCCAGGGGTGGCACAGCTGGAGAGACGGAGCTGCTGGAGAGGCTCTTCCCCTCCTGCCCACTTCTCCTGGTGCCCAGCTCCCTTCCCACCCACTTCTCCCGGTGCCCACCTCTCCTGCTGCCCGATTCCTCTGCTGCTTCTCTCTCCTGCCCACTTTTCCTGATGCCATCTCCCTTCCCACACACTTCTCTTGCTGCCCCTCTCTCCTGCCCATCTCTCCTGCTGCCCACTTCTCCTGCTGCTCTTCTCTCCTGCCCACTTTTCCTCATGCCCATCTCCCTTCCCACCCATTTTCCTGATGCCCCTCTCCCCTCCTGCCCACTTTTCCTGACATCCTTCTCCCTTCCCTCTTTTCCTGCTACTCCTCTCCCATCCCTCCCGTCTCCCCATCTCCCCTCCCGCTCCTCTGCCACCTCCATGCCCACTTCCCTGGGATCTGGGCACCTTGCCTGATGTGCATCCAGGCTGGGCAGTGCCCCCATCCCACCCCATGGATCCCACCCCATGGATCCCACCCCATGGATCCCATCCCATGGATTCCATCCCACCCCATGGATCCCATCCCATGGATCCCACCCCATGGATCTCATCCCATCAATCCCACCCCACGGATCCCATCCCATCCCATTCCATCCCATGGATCCCACCCCATGGATCCCATCCCATGGATCCCATCCCACTCCATGGATCCCATCCCATGGATCCCATCCCACTCCATGGATCCCATCCCATGGATCCCATCCCACTCCATGGATCCCATCCCATGGATCCCATCCCACTCCATGGATCCCATCCCATGGATCCCATCCCATCCCACCCCAGGTCCCATGCCTGGCACAGCAGCACTTCCAGGACCCCATGGATGGCCCCAAATCCTTGGGATGAGGAGCTGACCCCACTGCAGCCCCTGGCACAGGACAGGGACAGTGGGAGGGGACCTCAGGGCCAGACCCCACCCAAACCCGGGGGTGAAGCCCCAGGGAGGGGAGAGAACCCCACAAACAGCGGGGGAACAGTGAGGGGAGCTGGGGGAAGATTTTGGGGTCACCAGAGGGTTGAAAGGGGCACTGGGAAGGGTGGGGGGACACCAGGGATGGGTTCTCATCCCAGGGATGGGGATTTTCCTCTGGGCATGGGTTTTTGCCCCCTGGGATGGGGTTTTGCCCCCCAGCTATAGGGTTTTACCCCCTGGGATGGGGTTTTTGCCCCCTGGGATGGGGTTTTGCCCCCAGCTATAGGGTTTTTGCCCCCAAGGATGGGGGTTTTGCCCTCTGGGATGGGGTTTTGCCCCAAAGGGGCCCCCAAGAAGGGGCTGCCAAGAGGGTGGAGAAGCTGCAGACTCTGGTATGAGAGCGGGCACAGAGCCCTGGAGCAGCAGCAGGAGGAGGAGGAGGAGGAGGAGGAGGAGGAGGAACTCTGCCCCTGCCAAGCTCCCCGTGGCACTCAGCATCCCCCAGGATCCCGTCCCGAGCACACGGATTGTGGAGCAGGGAAAAAAGGACAAACCCAGGCCTTCCAAACCTGCCTCAATCCCTCTTTTTTCCCGTGCCAGGGTGGCAGGGCAGGGCGCTCAGTGCATGCCAGGCTGGGTGTCCCCTCCCTGCTGCAGGCTGGGGACACGGCCAGGGGTCACCAGGTGACCTCAGGGCCACCCCTGGCATGGCAAAAAGGGGACACTAGTCCCTGCTGTCCTTGATGTCCCTGATGTCCCTACTGGTCCCTGCTGGTCCCTGCTGTCCCTACTGGTCCCTGCTGG